TTGGCTTGCTATAAATTGCCTTTATTATGTTTAGGTATGTTCCCTATATTCCTGATCTCTCCAAGGCCTTTATCATGAAGGGGTGTTAAATTTTGTCAAAGGCTTTTTCAGCATCTAATGAAATGATCATGTGGGTTTTCTTCTTTCAGTTTCTTTATATGGTGTATTACATTGACAGACTTTCATATGTTGAACCACTCTTGCATCTCTGGGATGAAGCCTACTTGATCATGGTGGATAATGTGATAATGTTTTTGATGTGTTCTTGGAGTCTGTTTGCTAATATTTTTATTAAGTATTTTTACAACAATGTTCATGAGGGAGATTGGTGTGTAATTCTCTTTCTTTGTTGCATCTTTGTTTGGCTTGGGAATCAGATCAACTGTAGCCTCATAAAAGGAGTTTGGCAACATTCCTTCTGTTTCTATTGTGTAGAACAATTTGAAGAGTATTGGTATTAACTCTTCTTTGAAAATCTGGTAGAATTCTGCATTGAAACCATCTGGTCCTGGGATTTGGGGGCGGGGTTGGGAGACTATTAGGGGTTATTGGTCTATTTAAATAGTTTATCTGGTTTTGATTAACTTTGCTATGTAGTACCTATCCAAAAAATTATCCATTTCTTTTAGATTTTCCAATTTTGTGGAGTACAGGTTTTTGAAGTATGATCTGATGATTCTCTGGATTTCCTCATTGTCAGTTGTTATATATCCCCTTTTATTTCTTATTTATTAATTTGAAAGCTCTCTCTCTGACTTTTGGTTAGTCTGGATAAGTGCTTGTCTATCTTGTTGATTTTCTCAAAGAACCAACTCCTTGTTTCATTGATTCTTTGTATTGTTCTCTTTGTTTCTATTTTATTGATTTCAGCTCTCAATTTTATTATTTCCTGGTGTCTATGCCTCCTGGGTGACTTTGTTTCTTCTTGTTCTACAGTTTTCAGGTGTGCTGTTAAGTCACTAGTGTGAGATTTCTCCAACTTCTTTATGTGGGTGTTTAGTGCTATGAATTTCCCTCTTAGCACTGCTTTCATAGTGTCCCATAAGTTTGGGTATGTGGTGTCTTCATTTTCGTTGATCTCTAGGAAGTCTTTAATTTCTTTCTTTATTTTTTCCTTATGCATTGGTGATGCAGTTGAGCATTATTCAGTTTCCATGAGATTGTAGGCTTTCTGTAATTTTTATTGTTGTTGAAATCTAACTTTAAACCATGGTGCTCTTATAGACTACAGGAGGTTATTCCAATTTTTTTGTATCTGTTGAGATTTGCTTTATGACCAAGTGTAGCTGGAGAGTTTTCACTCTGGGTCCCACCAAGCCCCAGCAGTCTGACAGCTCATTTATAAAATAAACACACAGACAATTATATTACTTATAAACTGTATGGCCATGACAGGCTTCTTGTTATCTATTTCTTCTATCTTAAATTAACCCATTTCTATTAATCTATATGTTGCCACGTGGCTTGTGGCTTACTGGAACCTTACATCTTGCTTGTCATGGTGGCGGCTGGCAGGTCTCTCAGCCTCAGCCTTCTACTTCCCCCAATTCTCTTCTCTTTGTCCCGCCTATACTTCCTGCCTGGCTACTGGCCAATCAGTGTTTTATTTATTACCCAATCAAGCAACACGTAACATACAGAACATCCCACAGCACTTCCCCTTTTCTTTTTTTCTAAAAGGAAAGTTTTAACTTTTGCATAGTAAAATTACAGATAACAAAACAATTATCAATCAAGAATTATAGTTAAAATATCTAGTCTATTTATAATAACTAGTTTATTTGGCAAAATTAAAGAAGATATCCTATCTATCTTATATTTGTGAGTCTAAGGTTTTATATCTAACTTGTCTTTTGCCATAACTAAGGAAAATTGTAACTATCTAGCTTTAATCACATCAAAAACCTCAGAAGGATATAGTATTACCTGAGAAAATGGAGAAGGATGCAAGCAACTTTCAGGAGTCTTGCAGAATAGACAGAGACAGCTGGCAGCCTAGACAATCACCTAATGTTCCTTTGTAAAGTTGGGGCATCTGTTTTCAGCCCACAGGGCTAGAGTCTCTTGGTCATTTTTCTCTGTGTCCTGTAGAATGTCTGGCAGGGGCTCAGGGTGCTCTACCATCTCTACTTGGGCTTCTTTGGCCAGCTTCTTCAGCCTCTTCAGCATGGGCAGCAAGCTAGCAAGCATGGCGCAGCCAATGGGGGCACTGTGGACTTGCGCCAAGATTCTGGCCAAGCACAGGTGGCGATGAGGTGAGGTGGGTCCGTGAGAGCAACATCCTTCATGAGAAGTCCAAGGGGAAGACATGGGAGGGTGCTGAAGACAAGAAGACCAACCGCAACATGCTGTCTAACAGCAAGGTGTTTTACCTGCTCAAGACGGCCTTCCCTAATGTGCAGATAAATACTGAGGAACATGTGGATTCATCTGACAAGGAGGTCATTGTATGGAATCATAAGATTCCTGAGGACATCCTGAAGGAAATAGCTGCTCCTAAGGAGGTACCCGCAGAAAGTGTGACTGTCTGGATTGACCCGCTTGATGCTGCACAGGAATACACAGAGGATCTTCAAAAGTATGTCACTACCATGGTGTGTGTAGCTGTGAATGGCAAACCTGTGCTAGAAGTTATTCATAAGCCATTTTCTGAATATACAGCTTGGGCAATGGTAGATGGTGGTTCAAATGTGAAAGCCCATTCTTCCTACAATGAGAAGACACCAAAGATCATTGTGTCTCGCTCTCATGCAGGGATGGTCAAACAGGTTACTCTGCAGACCTTTGGAAACCAGACATCAATCATCCCAGCTGGTGGTGCTGGTTATAAAGTTTTAGCACTCTTGCATGTGCCTGATATGAGTCAAGAAAAAGCAGATCTATATATTCACGTGATGTACATCAAAAAGTGGGATATATGTGCTGGTAATGCCATCCTAAAAGCCCTTGGAGGGCATATGATGACTCTGAGTGGTGAAGAGATCAGTTATACTGGGTCTGATGGTATTTAAGGGGGACTCCTTGCTAACATCAAAATGAACCACCAAGCTCTGGTCAGAAAACTCCTAGATTTAGAAAACTCAGGATATCAATAAGCATTCTTGACCACAGGGTGCAACTTTTCAGGGGTGAATTGTTCAGCCTGAACTGTTGGAAGCTTCAAAGGACTTGTGGAGACTATACATGGTTAAGGCCATCCTGAACTTAGGAAGTACTTATGAAGCATCAGAGACTTACTTTCCCTATAATAGGATGCAAAATCAGGGAAAATAGGTTGCTTCATTTCTCAAGTATTGTCTTTATCTTTGAGACTATTTTCATACAGTTGTCATACACAAGGAATATATATATATATACATATATATATATTTGTGGATTAAAATCTAGAGCTGAGTCTACACTGTTATGAGTCACCATTTTCACTCAACAAATGATGAGTCTACACTGTTGATACTTTCATATAGAATTGGTTTTGAGGAAGGCTTGGTTTTGTGTAGATGTTTAGTGTAACTTTGAGGTTGTATCTTATTGAAAATAAAGTCATTGGTGATTTTTACTCCTCAGATGGAAA